TTTCTGGCCCGCCTTTGCTCTGTGCTGGTCAGGCCGTAGCTGTACTGCTGTGTCTGGCTTCGGCAGGGACAAATTATTGGTTCTGTGGAGCTGTACACATCATCTTGTGGCACGACAGAGATACCTTATCCTCTGAGGGTGCTTTTTTTTAATTTTTAAATTATTAAATCATTTTTCTTTATTGTTATTTATTAATAGCGGCATTGGAGAGCAGTGTTTGAAGTAATTTGCCTGAATACCTGAGTATCATAGAAAATCGGGGCAAAGTTACACTTCTAAACTTGGAGAAAGTTAGTAGAAGACATATCAGAAACTAAAAAATAATTCAGGATTTCCTTCTTATAAAAATCTCAAAAGCAAAAATGGAAAGCAATACTCTATAATCACTCTGATTTTTTTTCTCTTTCTTCCCTCAGGGGAAAATAGTGAAAATTGATTTTATACAACTTTTCTCATTTTTAACATATTTTGAATACTCTTAAGTGTTTTAAAAACAAAATGCATTCTGTTTAAGAAACAAAACCATGTTTGAAAAAAATAAAAGGATGTTTTTATCCTAGAGAAAAAGGGAAGAAATAAGAAACTTGATTTTTTTAAATAGATACAGTCTGTTGACTATAGCGATTTAACAGGGACAAACTAAAATCATGCTATCTGCTTTTATTTAAGTTATTAGGTTACAAGTTTTCATCCTGCTTTGAGATATATCTGATCCATTTGAATGGAAAAACAAGATGCCAGCAAAGGTAGAATTGAATTTGAAAATCTCAAGTATAGAGAGTTGTAGCTTGATTAAGGAATTCAGTTTGCAGTGAAATCATACCTTTTTAGTTTGGTACATGATGTATTAAATATGATGGAATGGAAAATTTTGCCAGCATACAGTCAGTTTGCACAAATACTTTCTTGAAAGAGTCGAAATTATAGAGGGTAGGACAAAAATGGCTCAAACAAATGGGTTTTTTATTTTATTTTTTAATGTGCAGCCTTTATTAGGGAACCAATGTGTTCAGACTTTGTGGTGAAGTATTCTAAGCAAATCATAGATCACGGTACGGCAGTTTATGATATTGTGATTATACTTAACCCAGTTTCTGCTTAGAATGAAGACTAGCCAGGACACTTTTCCCTGACTACTGTTGCCCCTTTCTTCAGGAGCCGAAGCAAGCTCTTATCTCGCTGGCTGGCTAGCTTACCCCAGCAACTCACCCTGCTGGGCGCAAAAAACTTGGAGCTTTCAAACCAGCTGATTGATATCATTCATTCTGCTGCCTCTCGGTCGAACAAGGATTTGCTGCAGAGTTTGCAAGCCACTGCTGATCGCATATATGGTAAGATTTCCTCACTACAACACAGGGAATTTTGTCCATCACTGGACCAGAAAGTTGCAAGATGTGGAAAATATCAAAAGTTTTCAAAGTAAGCTTTAATTTGCATGCTTTTTCTGCTGCTTTCACTGAAGTTCTTCTGGATCTGGGATATTCTTTTTGTCATTAACTAATACTGCAAGAACTTAGTCTTCCACAGCGTGGGCTTCTTACTGTTTTGGCAAATACGACAATAATATGCCCACGTGCTGCTAAGCACGTATCTGCTTCCTTCTGGAAGTGATGAGTGGAATGGATTGTCCTGCTTACGTGAAATAAAATGTGTTGGGATCTATCAAGGTGCCTGTACTGTTGCAAGGATATTTTTATTACTGCTGTGTTGATAATAGCAAGTTACCTGTTTATATTTATGGATTTTGCTACTGAAAGTATACTTTTATCCGGAAGTATTTTTATCTCTTAATTGCCCACTAGCCTTTCTCACTTCTATTGCTACCCTTGCTTGCTTTGCTGTTCTGTAGTTTTTTTTTTTCTCCGTGGAGGTAGGTGCTCCTTGCACTCCATATATACTGTGCCTCTGACTTGAAAAGGAAACTGGTGTCTCTGGAGAGGTAAATTTTGAGCCTGCTGGTGCCAATTTTGGTGTTTTGACGCAGCGCCTCATTTCTGCAGATCCCCTAGATGGCACCCTGGTCCTTCTTCCCGCGGAGACGCAGCGGCGGCTCGTGCAGCTCCTCTACTTCTTGCCCGGCCTGCCGGCCAGCCTGCTTGCGTGCCTCAGCCGCTGCTGTATCATGGGCAGGGTGTCTCCCGAGCTGGCTGCCACGCTCCTTGGGATACTCCACATGAGGTAAGGGCGTTGAGCGCCTGCTCTCATTCGGGGGGTTTCCGAGCGAGTTGTTTATGGAATATTTTACACTAACTAAAGGCTTTCTAAAAATTCTCACGAGTCTGAGGTCAAAGATATATACAGGGTTGTTTAGCTGATAAGTCAATCTGAATTAACTACATTAACTACAAAAAAATAGTACTGAGGGACTTAGACTAGTGCACCTGATATTTTTGTTTTTTACGGTCATTGGTGTTATTATGAGAACTTGATCTTAGGATGCTTGAAGGACTGTTTGAGGGGACCTCAGAAATGTTAGTGGCTTCTTTTGGTAAAGTGCAGTTACCAAAGGAAGCCGCCCACAATTCAGAGATCCTTTTGACTTTAAGGTCTGACAGACCAGTTGGCTAAATCTAATGTTCCCAGGCTGAACTGCCAAACCAGCTTTTGAAAGCATTTGAAGACAGCCAGGAGATAAGTAACAATTAATGCGAATTTGTTGAGAACAGAACAACCTAATTATCTTTTTCTTCGGGAAGAGAAGTTGTGCTGCTAAGGAAACAGCAGTATTTTTTTTTTCTAGCTCTGAACTCTAGCTTGGCTTTACAAACTTTTAGCACCTGTCAGTGCATGCAGTGAGGTAATACTCCAGCTCCTCTAATCACCAGTGAAGTGCGGCCGGATTATGTCCAGCTTTGTGCATTGCTTTTAGAAAATGGTGTGCATAAACTGGATCGAATTGAAAGGAGAGCAGACAAAAAATAATAGTCTGTAAATTGTGGCCGTAGGGAATGACTGACGAATTAGTATTTTTGGACTAAATAGAATAAGAAGGAAGGAAAATGCATTTTTGTGTGCTTTAAAGACATTGAAAAGAGATGAGGAAAAAAGCAGTTTTTGTATATGCCAAGGAAAGGACTAGAAGTAGAGATTTTAAGTATCAGAAATACGGATTTGGTTTGAGTGCTAGGAAAAAAAATCTATCAGCAGAGAGATGTACTGGAATAAACTGTCTAGTAAGTGGGTATGGAATCTATTCACAAGAGTTATTAAAATCACATTGGATGAAATTATATTATCCATGACATAGATCATGGGTCTCCTTGAAGGAAGGAGATGGACTAGGTAACTTCTTTTAGTCATTTACAGCTCTTGTGATTCTTTGAATTAATTATAAAAGTTCTTGAAATGGAGGAAAAACAAAAAACAAAACAAAAAAAAACAACCAACCAAAAACAGTATCCATCAAAACGTACAGGATTGTGGGTATCGGTCTGGTTTATGGGACACTTTCTGTAGTTGATGATGTTAGTTTTGTTATATAAAATTTATATAAATTCGTACATTCAGAGAACAGTGACATATGAGTGTAAAAAGGAGGAAAAAAAAAGTCACTAGATGGCAATGTTTTTCTTCCTCATACTTGAATGCTGTTTTGTGAGGAGGGTTTTATGAATTTATTTTCTCCCAAGCCACCTGCTTCTCTGTCATGCTTTAAATAGATTGCATTCACTAGCATCTGAAACTCACTGTTATATTTGGTAATTGTTTTTAATTCGTGTAAAAGCTCTTATTTCTGTATTATTCTAGACTGGCAGACTTTGTACCTTCTTACAAGCATCTAAGGATGCACACACACACCCATGTATATTTACCAGGGAGAATCCCCATTAAAGTGAAATTGATGAGAGTACACATGAATGATAAAACAGTTATTTCAAGAACAATCTTTATAAACTCAAGAAACTCAAAAGCTATTGAAATGCTTTTTAGTTTCTGCTATAGGAGTAGATAGTAGATTTATCCAGATGTTCTAAGCCTCAGCCTTTTGGTGATGACAGGCAATGAGTGTAAAATTCTAATTATTACACGTCCGTGTTGATAATCTTTGGTTACTTTGGAGATGCCTTTTAATTCCAAATTTTTGTTTTTGCAATGGTAAAATAAAAAGCCAGATGGTCTGCAGGAGCCAAGCAAGTGAGCGAAGGTGAACTCCTTTATTTGCTTCATTTGCACTTCTCCCTATCAATCTCATGCTGACACCCAGACCGAGGACCATTATTAAAAGGCAGCTTTAGTGCAGCCCCCCTGCCTTGGAGGCTGGCAGTTCAGCATGTGAGCATGGCCAGATGATGCTAATTGATTTCTGTGCCGAAGGGGAGACCCTGCTCCTATTCAGTTCCCTAGGATTGATCCAGCTAGTGAGTTTCAGGTGAGCAAGAGGGATAGAAGGTATGAGTTGTTGGCCTGATTTCCCTGCAGTTCTTCAGCTCTTCTGGTAGGTCTGCTCTATGAGACCTGAGCTGTAAGAAACTACAATAAATCCAGTGAAGTTTCCAGTTTGGAGAGATGGAACTGTGGCAGGGTTTCGGGGTAGGAATCCTTCTCCCCACTTTTGCTCTTGCCCAGCCCTGTAAGGAAGAACATTGGGACACAAGTGCAGTCTTGTGGCTGTGGATTGAGAGAAATGAGAGGGGATAGCTTCTTGGAAGGAG